TTTCTCAAAATATAACTCAAAATATCACATTATGTGCGCAACTACATTTAAATTTCAATCAATTTATAAACTCACCCATCCATTTCAGAAAGTAATTGATTAATTGTCTGATTTGCGTAAGGATGGAGAATTGAGTTCGTCCTTTTTGCACCCACGGAATCGATCTCATCAATGAATACTACACATGGTGCCTTTTCTTTCGCCGCTCCTATGAAGTTGATTGAGGAATTGATATACTTTTCACGATTTTAGCAATTTATTAATTTTTTGTTTTCTTGTCCACTGAATTTTACTCACTAAACAAGTCTCTAACACGCCGAGCACCCTGACCAACGAGAATCTCATCAAATTCAGGGCCTGCCACATGGAAGAATGGTACACCGGCTTCTCCAGCGACTGCACGCGCTAACAATGTCTTTCCTGTTCCTGGCGGACCGACTAACAACACTCCCTTCGGCAACTTTCCACCAAGGGCGGAAAATTTATCAGGGTTCTTTAAAAATTCTACGACGTTCAGAAGCTCTTGCTTTGCCTCATCTACCTATAATTTTGACAAATGTTTAGAGTATCTTGAAAGATATGCGTAAATTAGTTATTAGTTATATTTAGATAAAATCAATTTAACATTACAGTAATTAATGTTTTGAAAATTATTACTTACTCCTTTAACGTCATTAAACGTGACATGGATGTCCTCAGGATCAATTTCAATTCTATGACTCATAGGAAGTTTAAATATTCCTCCTCCTGGATAGCTAACTGTACAATATAAATAATTTAATAAAATTAGTAAAAACTTACAATATAATAAAAACAGCGTCAATTTTTATACACGTACGATAAAGCCAAATTACAAGAATAATAGTAGAGACAGTTAATATATTCAGCATGATTTTCAGCCACGCATTTGTTCGGCCTCGCATTTGGCGTTGTAATCCAGATTCATATCCCTCTACAAAAGCAATTTTTATTCTCTTCTGTTCGTCCGCTGTTGCTTCAGTATTGTTGAAGATCTGTTTCAGTTTTTCATAATCCGAACCCTTCAGCTCAGGTACTAAACCCTGCAATAATAAAATTAATTAAATTCAAATTGTAGAAGTATTAGAATATTTCATTTATCAATGTACTTTTTAAATATTTTTATAAGCTAGATCATTATCGGGCATATTGTTAGATTATTTATTTGCGTAAAATATAATAGATATTGTACCATTCGTATATTAGAAGATAGGCCGAACCATTTCTTTATTCTGCTCATGAATGGCGGATTTTGCTCTAATTCCATTTTTACAGTACGTTGAGATTTGAATGTACGAATCGGCATATGATTGTGTAGCTTCTTGCCATACCATGTGTGCAGCAGTCTATGTTGCTGTTTTGTTGCTAGATGGACGACAGGTAGAATAATGGGCTTTGTGAACATGGAGCATGAAAAGTCTCGCTTGTTCTCGGCAAAACTTAGGCCGGATAAGTAAGATACTCTCCATTTATTATTCTCTTCCAATGGTCTTCTAAATACACTGACAGCTACGTTATCCAGTATTAAGCACACCTTATCCTTCATTTTTAACACATTTGATGTGTTTAAACTTATCTCTGGTAGCTCGGTACAATTCCTCGCCGCCTAAAACAATTAAAAATTCTGCTTACATGCATAATTTCATTTTAAAACAAGTGCAACATTATAATTTTAAACTAATCAATCTTTATATATTGTTCATTTTATAATTATTATATTTTATAATCTAATGTCTCTTTGTAATCTAATCTCATAAATTTTTTCATATATAATTTAGCTACGTTAAAAAAATAAACTTATGAAAATACCTCTTCAAAACTATCAAGACAAATTACTGTCTCTTCCGCGTTTTTTTGTAAGGATTCATCGTGTTTCTTAACTTGGATTGAATATGAAGTCGTCCTAGGAGTCGCTGTTAATGCTAGTTGTGTCAGATGGTACAAGACCTAAAATTTAAAGAATATCTAAACTTATCAAAATATTTACATGATTTATTTTTAAAAAATAATAAAAAGAAGTAAAAAAAATTTTGGTTTTTTTAACTACGATTATCGACATATATGATCAACTGAAATCAAAAAATTTTGTAAATAAGCAATATTTTAAATAAATCAATTTTAATATTTTTTAATTATATCAATAAAATGATGTTTTATAATTATTACACAGGCATATAAAAAATATTTTAATTCCGAGATTAGATTATATTAATCTTGTTTATTTTAACGCTCTAAAATCAAATCCGAATTGTTCCAGCATATCACAATTTTTTTATCGACATAGTCACATTTTCCAGCATTTTTAACCTGCCTAACTTTATAAACTGGCATATTATTGCTGAACTACTTTCCCTTTTTTACTTGAACTTACATATTAAAAACCTACAGGTCTTAAACAGCTCTAAAAATACTGGAAAATTGAACTATTTTTTTATTGGAAAAAATTACATGATGAAACGATGCTGAGCATTGGATTTTAGAGCATCAAGATATACATAAATCTGAACAATGTGTTCTAATCTAGGCCTGTCCAATTTGAGCTTCAGAACCAAAACACAAAGCCATCGACATAAAAAATTCAATGTAAGATTTCAGGGACTATGAAATATCATAAGCGTCACTCGGATATCAACACTTCACATTAAAATCTTATCCATATTAAAACAAAAAATCAAATTGGACAAGTCTATTCTAATCTCTAGATCAAATATTACATTTTATTTTATGCACCTATGTTATTGTAAACATATTGAATCTAATAAATTTTAGAAATAATAAATCTGACAATATGTGCCACAATCGCAGCGCATATCTATCATACATTTGTAATTTCAAAACAGTTTCATATCATGCAGATAAAATTAGATAAAGCACATATATAAATATGTATGTTTATACACACATTTAATAAAAGCCAAAACGCTCTTATGCAAGGACAGCAAATCACATGTATATGTGGGAGATAGGCAAAACATGCTGTCAGAAACATGATGTAATTGTAAGACATTGTATATGCAAACCTGATTGTGAGATTGAAGAGATATCATAATCGCAAGTTCCAGGACGGGAGACTCGTACGAATTTGCGTGAAACTACGGACGATCCAGAGTTGAAGAAACGATCGTGCGAAAACGATAGCTTACTGTAGAAATGAGATCGAACGCGTACTGATCGTCGAGCAGTCCAGGTTGCTTTATCGTGAATCTGTTATGATCTGTTGGACAGCCGCGGTGTTCCTCGCAGATATAATCACGTGACCGGTCACTTGGCAATTTATTGGAACATCAAACGCGATTTTTTTTTAATAATGTGCGAGCACCGACCGTGTTTTGAACACGGAGCCAATTGATGGTTAGCCGTCAAAGGCATGAACTAGGAATTTATAGATTTGCCAAGATCGATGACAATCGATAATATGGCCTACAGTTCATTTAATGCTGCACATGCTTTGAAGCATTTTTTGATTGGTCAGTTAGTGAAATTCTCTCTTCCAATTGGTTAAGCAAATGCTTCAAAGCATTCTAGCGCCAAATAGACCGCACCCCAAAATATTATAGAACAAACCTATTATTATTTTAATAGTATATCTATAGATTGTCACATGCTCCAACTTGCAGTAAATAAGTTTGTCGCATGCTCTGATATTGTTCTAAAATGTTCCTATTACATTTACTCACTTTAACGTTCTTGTTGAAGTGAGTAGAAACTATAACCATGAATGTGAAGTATTGAAGCGGCATATTGGAACATGTGACAACCTATGACGCAAATAAACTTTATATGCATGGAGTTATCATCATGATTCAAAAGCATTCAAGATACGTGTGAGAGAGAAAAATATACATATATAAAGGACAAATAATAAATATGGAACATTCGTTCTCTTTGCACATGTTTTAAAATGCCGAAATGCAAGGTGTCCCAAAATAATGATAGAAAACTTTTTGACTCAGTTTAATTCGCTCTACTTGCCCATGAAATATTTGACAATTATTTCGGGACATGTTTTATACCCTGTATATTCTATGCGGTAATTGTAAGAACTAAATCAGTTTATCATTCGTAACTTTTGTAAGTAAATATACATGGAACAATTTGTGTCCATATGTATATTATAAGATTAATAAAATTTAATAAAATTTAATTCAATAAAATTTTGCTGCATACTTCGAATTAATGGAATAAGATTTAGATTAAAATTGTGTCGAATACAATCTTTGAACACATACACAATATAATTAATAATATAAATATTTAAAAATTTAATAAATTATACATACAATATCATTATTATTCTAATTTAAACGCTCGATGGAAACTAGGCTACTATATATATATCTCCAGATATCATAGAACGTCATAATTCAGTCATAATGATGTCACTGCGCGTACCTTAGCGTCGAGATACTACCAGATATCACAAAACATCATTATGACGTCATTTGATACCTAAAAATTGACTTATAAGTGACGAATGAGGTCATGATGATGTCCTCATGACTTTTCTGTGTTCTTGGGATAGAACTGAGATAATGATGATGATAATTATAATGTCCAACATCATTTTGCAAGACGACTGTGAATAGTCACTTCCGACATATTTTTGTCTGCTGAATACAAATCCAGATTTGATCATAAGATACACATAACGTTCTAATTTAAAAAAAAAAAGAGGCCAAGAAACACGATTTTAAGGATTTTCATGACATTATATAGCATTTGCAGGAAATTTTATCATAAAAGAAAGAAATTAATCATAGTCGATTATTTTCTATCATATTTAACTGTGGTTGACCGCACACAGCTTACGGTTAAATTTAAAGTTTCCTACCTATTATATATGTTTCGAGAATGATTCCTCTACGAGTACTAAAAATTTATTCACATTACGAATACACTATAGCTTTTTAGTACTACAGATTTTCAATAATGAACAATGAAACGCAATCAATATCAACAAAAATATATCCAAATATAATCTCGTAATGTATAATTTTGAACATTTTAAATTTTTCACTCGACCATAACGAAGCACGGATACCTAGACATGACACCGGAACTCGATTTATTCACATCTCGATGCGGGGGCGATTTGCGGGTGAACCGCGAATCGGCTTCGCCGTCCAATCGGTCGAATGTGGTGTGGAACATCTGCAAAGTTTTCTCACAGTTCGTGGACGTGCATGCGGTGTTTGTGTAGCAGGTTACGCTGCGCTCTCCGCGAAATGACGTTTGTTGCTAAATATTGGCCGCACCGGAGCAAGCAGTAAACCGCCGTGATATCCACTGCCGTGGTCTCTCCCTACGTCGAAGACCAGGTACGAGTGTCGGAGTCATCTGCGACGGTCCATCCGTCCGTCCGTACGCACGTCGCACATCGTAGGCACCGTCGTGCGCCGGACTGAACCCTCGCGACTACGACAGGAACGAGCGAGCGCGGCGGTGAGGTTAGGACGTGCAAAAGTCGAGTCGAAGGAGTCGACGTGCGCGCAGCCGATGCTGACTCCCCGACTCAGCGAAGGTAATTCGCATTCAGCCCGGTCGGCGCGGCGCGTCGCGACGCCGCGTGGCGCCGTATCGCACGCGCGTGTCCGGACGTCGCGTCGCGACACCATCGCCGCCACTGCACGCTACCGCGAGCTGTCTGACCTAACCTCTTCTCGCCTAATCGTTCGCTCTCCTCGCGCTGTCGCTCGTTTTTGCACGCCTGCATGCGTCACTTCGCCCTGTCGGAATCACCCTTGTCGTCCTGTTCCTCGTACTCTACCAATTTGCCCCCACGCGGGCCAACCGCGACGACGGTCTCTGCTTGTTTACCACTACTTTCCCCTTCCCAATGATAAATCGTCCTTCGCGTCATTCGTCAGTCGTGGATGAGACAGACGTCAATTGGCCTCGTCGAGCACGAGATATCGTGAGTCTGACGAAAGACGCGTATTAGTTGTAATCAGTGGTGATCCTCATGGTGATCGTAATGGCGATTTAATTGTGTGTTCGACGGTAAATGATTCTTGTAAATAAACATGCGACTTGATTAGCAGTAGTTTATATTGGTTGCTTGTTTTTTGGAGGAATGATGAATCAATTTTTGTTGTGACTTCTGGATACTTTTATGCTGGCTGCAGATAAATTTATGAATGTAACATCTATATACTTTATATAGGTTGTTAGATAAAATGCATCAAAACGATGAGTTTGTAAACATGTGCGTCTGAAGTTTTTGAACAACGGAGTAACATTTAATTCTATTTCATTTTTTACGTTATTATTTAACATTTATATTTTAAGCAGTATAGATAATTTATTAATTTAACTTGATTTGATTATAAATAGAAATTTGTGTGACACATCCATACATGTGATCAGAAATTTGGAGCTTGTATGCAAAAAGCCTAATTTATGTATAAATACACATTCACAGGCATCACCAAGTGTTTTATAAATTTGTAATTATTATTTGTAATGTTGAGATATCGCAAGTAAAAAATGCATATGTTTGAGAAATAAAATATTAATTTTAATTAAATAAACATAACATTTATTTACATGTGTAAAGCAAGAATACATATAGATAAATGTATTTAAGATACATTCTTAATTTTAAAGATACATTTTTTATTTTGTTTATTTTATTTGTAATTTTATTTGTCGTATTTTCTTTTTTTCTTTTGATTTGCAATCTGATATATGTACTTTGTATTTGATATGTGTATCTTTCTAAAAAAAGTTCAGAAAAGTGCAAAACAAATTATGTTATGTCTGGAATATATTTCTATTAAGATAATACATACTTTTTGAGATTTTTATTAATTAATAATATAATTATAATTATAATTAATTTATTTAAAAGTCAGATTTTTTATATAAAGAATTTTATTTCACGCACAGACCTATATTGAAGATCGATACTAGAATCATGACATGACAGAAGTCACAATAATATCTTTAGTATCAATATGTTAGATCTATTTAATAACTTATAATATTCAGAAAGTGTTTATTAAAAATGTGAATAAACTGTTTATTATTAAGATTATTTTATTTCCCAATGAAATTCCTAAAAAGGAGTTCTTATAACATTAAATGATTGTATTATTTGTGTATTTAATATAGCATATTTTAATTATAATATTTATCAAAAGAATCAATAATTACACATATATTTGGAATACAGATTTAGTGTATTTTGTCATATTTTAATATTATACTATGTCACTTTCAACATCAGTTACATTATATTTATATGAATGAGTAATATATCTGATGGATATCTCTTCCAGAATATGAACGATTATTACCGCATCAGATATGACATTAAGTGGCATCAGTAATCAGAAGTTACAATGATTGGTACAGCCTGTACTTTGGAAGATGCGTGTCGGCAGGCTCAGGTGCGTGACACAATTTTTTAAACTGGAATTCTTTAATGCCTCAAAACTTTTAATTATAATTTATTTATTAAAAAGATTTCGAGATACCCTATATATGTCGATAAAATTGTCATTTTATTATTATATATTCATTCTTTTGTTTATGCAGGATATGATTAATCTAGCATCCAGATGTTGGAAGAATACCCAAGGTCAGAATTCATTGACCTTAACATCGGATAAATCATTATCCTCTCAGAAAAAAGAACAGAGTTACTCCAGGCATAGTATCCAATCTAAACTCACCAGACTCTATTTTGAAGAACTTTCTAAAGTTCCTCATGCAACCCCAGATTCAGTTTTGGTATGTTTACTTTCTAAACATTTGTTACTAAATTTTTGCTTGTTTTCTTTTTATAAAAATACTGCAATGCGACAGTGTATTATATTTTTATGCAACATGCTGCTTTATTTTAAATTTTACAGAACAATCTTGAGAATGAGTGTGATCTTTTGGGGCGGTTAGTGCAAAGGGAAGGTTTAAATACATTAATCGTTAATCTTTATGCTGGTAATAAAGGATACTCATTAGCTGTAAGAAATAGGTATGCACTTGTTTTGTCATGCTCTTTCTGAAATGCTGATTAACAATAATAGTATTTAACTTTTTAAACTTAATGATAATTGACTTTAATAATTCTATTAATTAGATTTAAGTTAGATTGTAAAGAAAAATCTTTCAATACTTTACGCGAAAATGAATATGATTATTAATTTAAACATTATTACTTTTGACTCTTTTGATTGTTCACTTCCAGTGTCAAATTGTTGTGTTTGATAATATTACATATTGTTAAAATTAAAAAATTTTAAACACTAATTCTTGTTGGGTTTAAAGCGGTTTGAGATATGCCAGAGAAGTAAAATACACTTCTTTATATATGTAATTAATTTATCAAAATAATCATTTGTTTTTAATTTTAGAATTAAATTTTAATATTAATACAGAGATCTTATTTCTCGATAGTGATAAGGGGAATCAGTACGATAAAAATTCATTAGCTGAGACTCAACTCATGGGTTACGAACAGGGTGAACTACTTTCGTGCATAGATAATGGCCAATTGCCAGCTATGTTAGCCGAACAACTGGAATCTAGTTATTCACATTTATTTTACGACGGCTGCATAATTGCTGAAGTTCGAGATTATCGAAGATCATTTCCTCACAACAGAGCTGACGTTCATCATGTACTTCTTAAACCTACCACACAGGTGAGATCTTATCATTAAATGTGTCCATTAAAGATGACATAATAATATAAATAATAATAAAACAGTATTAATAATTGAAGTCTATTCAATTATATTGAACATGATTTTGATAGGATTTAAATTAAATTGTGAGAATCATTGTTTATAGAGTGTACTTTCGGACATATCGACACTTACGAGTGACGGAGATTGGAGCCATGAAGAGCGATTAATGTTGGAATCACATCTAATGGCAGCTACTCAAGGTCCTCTATGTCTGGATCCGAATCCTGTTCCCACTTTAGCTAGTACAAGAATTAAGCAGTCTAAATCATTGCTTACCGATCATCAACTCATGCGACAAGCTAAAAAATTCTCTCAGGTGAGATTTTAATTTGAAATTTATTTATAATCTATTATTTGTTATAGAATTGGAGATCTATAGTGCGTGTGCGTGTGCGTGCGTGCGTGCGTGCGTGCGTGCGTGCGTGCGTGCGTGTGTGTGTGTGTGTGTGTGTGTGTGTAAGAGAGAGCGTGTGATCGCATGGTGTGTGTGTTATATATATAATATTTATTAGATCAGGCCTGTGTCCAATTTGAGCTTTGGAGCCAAAACACAAAGCCATTTAATGCGCGAAAAAAAATTAATGTAAGATTTCGAGGACTCAAAAGTGTTGATATGCATCTGAGTGACGTTTATCAACACTTTACAGTTCCCGAAATCTTACCCATATTGAATTTTTTTGCTTTGATGACTTTTTGTTTTGGCTTCAGAGCTCAAATTGAACAGGCCTGTATTAGATAATGAATATCAAATGATAATACTTAAATTCTTCATGAAAAGTTGTAATTTTATACAAAAGATACGAAAGATTTAATCTTATATACGGAATTTAATTCTATACAAAGGATATTTCTATATATTTCTAAATCACAATAATTTTATTTAATTAATATCCATACATTAATATCCATACGCTTATGCGGATTTGATTTGTACATAGCAGTAAATATCATGAAAACATTGTACTTGATATCAGGTCACAGTAAATCGTAAAAGAAAATTAGAACAGTTCGCTCAACCAGAAGGACAAACAATACATGACTTAATATTGAAATTCCGAAAGTCCGAAAATACGAAAAGAAGAGTATTAGCAACCAATACTGCCTGTCCACCGCCTTCTCTTACAAACCCTCCTCTGCTTCCACCGTCTACAGCAATCGAAGCTTTAAGGTACTTGGCACGGTTTTTCTTTATATTTTTATTTATATTATTTGTAATTACTTACATTTTATTCTTTTATAACTTTTACTGTGAGATGTCCGCAAAATTAATTAACAATTCAATTAGATTCGCGAAAGTATACGAACGGCCACGGGAATCAAAAGACTGTTCGCCGCAAGTTGTAGAAGAATATATATTAGAACCTGCGGAAAGTCAGGATTATATAAAGCTCTCGATCCTGCAAAGACCCGCTACTTCCGAGTACCTGGGAGAACTTTATATGGACAAGAATCATCAGGATGGAGAAAGGAATGGTTCTTCTTGCCGGTACGACAATAATAATAGTTCGTTCATCTGTACTAATAATATAAAATATTATTGCTACAGGTTAACAAACCATGTATTTTTATGCAAAGCATGATTATTTACATAATAAATTTATTTAGCATAATAAATTTCTAATATTGACAATAAATAAGAATCTTATTTTAGACCGTACATGTGAAAACACAATCAAACTAGAAGCTCATATCAGTCGAAGCCCATACTGGATCTTTAATCCTTTTTAAATTTTTTTAAAATAAATTTTATTGAATTTATATACTATATTTATATACTATATATTAAATATGTAGTTATTTGAACTGCGCGCCGAAATTATTTTTTTCGAACTTATAAACAATTAAATCCTATAATAATATCACAAATAAATTGATAAGCATTAATAATTTGATGTTCAATCTGGTATTCTATTAGAAAGATGTTAATGTACTGAAAAACTATAAATAAATTTATTGCGAAAAATATTTAGTCTGTTCGACTTGCTTACACTTTTTTACACTTTTTACACTTAAAATGGGATAGATATATTTTTGACACTGAAAAGAGAAAAAGATGCCGAGTGTAAAAAGTGTAAGTAATTCGAACAGACCTATTATCTTGGCCGGAAGTCGAACCTGGATCTCTTGTATTCTGTACAAGCGTCCTAAGTCTTTAGACTTCTAATATTGAATTTATTTTCTAGATTTCCATTGGGTACCAGAGCTGTAGTTAATCATTACTATCAGCAATTTAAAGAAATATTTACCGAAGAAGGTAGGAAAAATGTAAGAATAAAACATATTGTACCAGGACAGGCTCCTCGTATTGCATGTACACCAGGCATGCAGCGAGCCCATCAACAGGTACATTAATCTCATCTTTTTCCAGTTAATGTCGATTATTTTATTCTTTATTTTTCAACTATTTTTACTGAATCAATTTTTTATTATTATTTTAGGCGCAACAAGCAAAAGCGGCGCAATTAGCTCAACAGTTGCAGCAGGTTCAGTCTCAACACTCTCAACATGTAGCACAACAGGTAAACTCAGTTTATTTTTTATTTTTTTATATGTAAAATTATCAGCAAGAGAATACTTTCTTGAAAAAAAAAATACAAAAGATATATAAATATGTACACATTACAATCTCATAACAGCCATGCACACATTTTCAGCAAATCCGCGCGTCATTTCAGATTCTATCACGGGCTCAAGGGCAACTAACTAATTTGGCCAGTCAAGTAGCCTCGATGAAGGCTATGACAGAAGCTTCTACCTCTGCACAAAATAATCTTACGTGCGTGGACTCGGCAAATATGCCGCAAGTTATTCCACAGAATGACGTTACCGCATTGAGTTCAGCACAATCTTTAGCCAATGGTGGCCCTAACGCGTCAACCTCCGTGCAAATTGATAACTCTGCGATGGCAGTAGCAGATAACACTTGTAATGGTTCTGGTATTCTGGTCTTTCAGAAGTCGGCTGGTACTATTAATAACGCGGCACCCACCAATGTTCCAGTTTTGGTAAACTTCCATATTTATTTCATAACAGACATTAATGATATATGACAATCTAATCGCGTTAAGATTTTAAGATTTTTTTATTTAATCCTGTATTTAATATTTGCAGCAAGCGCAATTACAGGCGGGAACACAGAACTGCATAGGTGAAACTGCCAATCAGAGTCAAAGCGAGCCGCCGTTCAAGAAACATTCAAATAATCCAGCAATAAACGCTCTTGTTACTTCCCTCATGAACTCCGCACAGCAATTTCAACAACAAGCTGCAGGTTTGCTACTGCTCCACAATATATATCTTTACATCCTTTCAGATTATATAATTTTGTTATAATTATATTTATATAATCCTTGTAGATTCATAATATTTATATTGTATGTTATGTATTTTGTAGCCAATGCTGCAGCTGCAGCTATGAATAACAATACACAAGCTACAAACAAGTCCAACAATGCCGCGATCCTTAGTTTATTAAATAGTACTCCTGCAAATATAGCTCAACGTAAGGTTCAATCCCAAAGGATCTCTCTTAATGCTTCCATACCACCTAGAGTTATCAGTCATGGCAATGTGATCAACGTGCCCAACACCACTGGTCAAGTATGTTTCATTAATTTGTTAATAATTAATATTTTATATATTTACAGATTTTATACTTATACATTTAATATATTTTAGTTAACATATTTATATGTTTCAACATAAAATTAAACATAATTTTTATCAAATTTCTTCAATTGATACATTTAATACTTGTAATATAACTGATAGTTAATTATTTGACATAATGGCTATTTTGGATATAAAGTATATAATATTACATATCCAACTTTTGTTTATTATGTTAGGTACGCGTGAGTTTAAGCTCCTCTGCTTTAACGGGACAGTTAAGTTGCAAGCAACAACCAGTGAAAGCAACTGCTGTAAGGCTTGCGCGAGTTCAAGATCCTACATCTACTCTTGGATTATCAATGCCGGGACTTTCGGCTTTGCTTGCTGGTACAGTATATCTATAAATTAATGCTATTTAACAACAAAGATGTAGAATACAGTTTTTATATTTTAATTTATTACGAATTAAAAATCCTTTGATTAAATTATATTAAAATTTGAATACTAAATTCGTAACTCTACCATCTTTTAACAAACTTTTATATATATATATATATATATATATATATATATATATATATATATATATATATATATATATATATATATATATATATATATATATATATATATATATATATATATATATATATATATATATATATATATATAATTTAATATTTCGAGCATTTGAAATGAATATTCAGTAAATATAATTTAAATAGTCGGTTTTCTTTTTTATTTAATTTAATAGTAATTTTAGATCAATTTCTTTTTCTATTTTTAGAAAGAGAGAGAGAGAGAAATATAATTTTCTTTATGAACAGGCACGCCATCGGCTGCACATGCG